TATATATATATATATATACTTGTAGTTAAATATGAATAAAATATCCTACCAACAAAAGGTTGCTTCTACTAAATGAATACCTAATATATATATAAACATAAAAACAAAAACAAAAAACAAAAGAGGGCTCGACGGAGCTGGAAAACCAGTTGATTCCTACTTTATTATTTTACGCATTTTTCACGCATAAAACGTGTACCTGCTTTAAATATATGCCACCCCCCTACTTTTGGGGCTTGGAAATTTCAGAAAAAAAGGGGAAATACGATAACTTCATTTCTCCGTGTTGGATTCAGATTGTTCGATGCTACTGTGTAATTAAATAAATGTTAATTTATTTAAAGTCGCATTCGGCCGTGACACTGAACCTTGCACTTGCCGGCTTCTCATCGAAAGTGCAGATGAGATGACGATTTTTGGTGTCAAAATCAAGTGAAATGTGCAGCAAACATGCCATTTGCTCAGTTGTCGATTGCGCAGACGATTGAATAAACAATGCTCGATTGATTATACAAATTGTCATCTCTTTTCATGCGATTCAGTCAAAGTATTTATGAATGAATCTGCTTAATTCGGCGCGTGAATAAGCAGTTGTGCTGGAATTTGGTTGGTGAAGGTTCATTCAGGTCAGTAATGTTTAGTACATTTGCTTGGCGACTTGGCATCTCATGTGTGTGTGTCGTCGTTTGTCTCTTCTAATGCCGATTTCTTTGGTTTGTTGTGCCCAAGAGACGAAGCAATTGCCTCGCCTTGAGTTGGTTAATTTGCTTGTTAATTCAACCATCCACGTGTCTGTATGTCTGAGTTGAGTTGCAATTCATGTTTCAATGCAAGAATAGGATTGATTGAAATGCCACTCTCTGATTGGTGGAAACAGCGCAAGGCGTTTGAGCTGTATGTCTCCACGGTAGTTGACCAATGGTAAGTTAGTGCGATTAAGAGCTCGTGTCTGATTGGCTGCCAGTCGACGTGTCAGTCCAATTGCTGTCAGAGCCAATCAGAGATGAGCATAAGTTCTGCCGTATTCAGTCGCGTTTTCATCGTTCGTCTGCCCGAATTGTCGTCTTTGCGCCTGCCCTTTGCACACACACTCGTGCCTGTTGTCAGGCCGTTTTCCTGCCCTCACTGCGCCAGTCAACGCCCGCCCACAGGCAGGCAATCCAGCCAAGTGGAGACAGAAACGAGGCCAACCAATGCTGTTGCCAGGAGAAAACTAGCCGACTGGTTGCCAGGCGAAAGGCGAACCCCAATCCATACGACCGGGGCTACCACGGCACAAGACGTCACGGAAACAAGTCATTCGGACCCTAGTGACCGTCGTAACTGCCGCCGTTACCGCCGCCTCCACCACAAACGTCGTCCAGTCCGGAGAGTAACTATCTACACACACACACACACATACAATTGGGTCAAAGTGTGGAGGTCACATGAAGTCGGGTTGATAGGGTCTGTGGAATGCTGTACGCGGCGCCGAAAAAGTCGAACGCTCCGTGTCCCGGCGAGCCTCGTGACCGGCCTCGTCTCCTCGAGCCGCCCGACGGCTTGTTTGTCGGTCCTTTTGTCAGTCCCTTTGCCGGCCCCGCCTCGCCGCCCCCCCCCTCGTCGTGGACAAGTGAGGC